TATATATATATATAAGTGAATATAAAAGTAGAACATTTGTATTAGTATAAATAAATTATATACATGTATATAATAATCTCAAAATAATACTATCTCCTATTATCGGTCAGGTACAATTATACAAGTTACATTTGGTAACATTGACACTAACAAAAGTTCACATCACTTGCTAGTGACCACTTCTCAAACCAAGTCTTGGTCTTCTTTCATACAATATATGACATCACAGTTCAAACTACTACAAAAACAGAAGTATAAACTAGAGCTTGCAAACATGTAAATATGGAAAACGATTCTATATCATACAACATCATACTTTAAACACATATTTCATCCAAACTATGTCACACAAGACATCCAATAATACATATGAATAAACCACAATAGACATTATATACAAAACACCTCAACTAATGCATAATAACACATTCACCTATGTAGATTTTCTAACAACATGAGTAGTATAAGTGACTCTACCTTACTGAACCAACCCAATTATTTTTGCACTTGAAACGTTGGCTTGATCACAACAAAATAGGATAAAAATCCCTCCTCTGGTTTATCAAGTTTTATTACTTACGCTAGGAAAGTCCAGTTCTACCATTAGGAATAACACAGTTGGGTATAGGCTTACCACGACCTTGCATTACCAAGTCACATATAGAATTTTCCCATTGATAATCCTCATGGAGCCATGCAACCTTTCTAGGTATTTGGTTAATGATTGTAATCTTCGACCTCCTACCTTACTCAACAATTAACTAAAGACGTAGAGGAGACATCAAAACACCTCAAAACCCACTTTAAGAGACACACCTACTCAAAGAGGGTTTTCCAACAATGGCCTACTTGAGCACCACTCCAAAGATTCCCTCTGTGGGATCTTCAATTTTCAAAAACAATTTTCTCTCCTCAAGTCCTAAGTTAGCTAACATGTGTTAATGCCATATCACATTTTCAGCATCCACACCTCACCATACATCATCTATATACATCACATCCAGTTAATATATATAGATCAACAATATCATACATACATACATATGTTCATTGCCATCCAACACCATATAAACATCTACATATGTCATGTCTAATCAACATATATAGAACTATAGTTTCTATAACACTATCATCTGATAACTTTATTGTTTGATTTGATAGTTGCTGTTGAGAGTTTTAGGGCTGAGAAACCCCGAGAGCACGTTTATCTTTGGATGATTAGACCAAACATAAGTGGAGCCAACTTAGGAAAGGTATAAAAGGAAGAGTTTTCAAAAGGAAACTCATAATTCATGTTTTCTAAAACTCAAGATAGAAGTCAGAGAGTTGGAATCCTCCTTTTCTTCCTTTCTCAACTAATTCTAGTTTGGGCGGTGAAGATTGGAGTTCCCGAGGTTGGAGCTCAAGTGGAAGTATAGAGTCATCTTCTTCTTCTCTTCCTTGCGGACCTTCTCTAAGAAGGCAAGGAAAGTTGTGATTTGGATTCTTGAGTATGTTGTGAGGTTGAAATGTTGAATATGATTTGATTCTTAAGTTGATAAGCATATTGGATGGTAAACATGGTGAAGTTAAGAGAGTTCTTTTGTAACTTGAAGTGGTGTAAGAGAAATGGGGTGAATTCTTGATAGATGTTTGTTGCATGTTGTTTCTGATAGTGTAGTTGAGTTGTATATGTTATCTATATGTTGTTTATACCATTACATGTTGCTAGGTTTGTTGAATTTCAGGTAGATTGGGAAAAATTGGATTTTGCAGAAGTGCAGAAATTGATATCGTGTTGGGCATGCCTACCTATCATCTAGGCATCTCGAGTCCAATGTAATGTACCTCACTTCCGACGCCATTGAGGTAGGAAAGTCTTTGCTTCGCTCACACCCGATGTCATCCAAATTGCGCCCGGCGTAGTCGAGGTGGAGACCTTCCCTTGGGAACTCATACCTGACATGACAAAACCCATGTTTAACCTTATATTAGGCAAAAAGCTTCTACTTGACTCTTGCATGGTGTCACCTCAATGGTGCTCGACTTCCTTTAGGTAAGGAGTCCTTGTCTTGATTACGCTTGGCACCATCCAACTATGGTCTAGCGTCACCAAGTTAGAGACCTTCTGACGCTATCATGCTTGACACCATTCAAATCACCTTTAACATCATCCCAACCTGAGATGAGTCTCTCTCTACACACTTAGTGTGAGTAAGACAAAGCCATCTAGTTAAAGCTGCACCTTGTGCCACAAAGGCACACACAATGTGATACTAGAAATATGCAATTGTAGACTTCAAATAGACATACAATGCATCCAAATCCACATACTAACCATGTACAACTCAAAATCATCAAGAAACAACACATGCAAGTCAATTTGCATCATTCACCAAAATTATCCTTATGAGTTCAAAACACCAAGAACTCAACGCGCATTAAAATCTCACCTTAGATTTTGCCAAACAAACAAGAATTTTACACAATCTCAGGCACATACAACCCAACAACTCAACAAGAATTGAGTCTAGCTTCCCTTACATCAATTCCTAGCCACCTAGAAGAAGAAATGAAAGAGGAAGAGAAGAACTTTGCACGTGCACCAATCCTCAACTCCTATGTCTTTAGATCATCACCCTGAGGATCAACAAGAGCCTCTCCCGCCTCTAGGGAATCTAGAAAAAAGAGAGGAAGTATAAAAAATCTAGAGCTTCTTACTCTACTTTTTCTCTCTAAGGTCTCTAAGAAATTGAGTTTATGAAGCTCAACTCGTAGAAGAAACCTTATACACCTTTCCTCTCAAGGTCAATTGGACCTTTAACCAAAGACTCTCATAATTCACCCAATTCACCTAGGTACAATGTTATGAAAAATATAGTTATGATAATAGGATTTGATAGGAAAATACAAAAAAAAAAAGATAAATAGTAAGTATTATTGATGGAATGTTTATAATTAAATAGTTGGAATACAAAGGTGTAAGTTTTTACCCAATTCACTTAGGTACAATGTTATGAAAAATATAATTATGATAATAGGATTTGGTAGGAACATAGATAAAGATAAATAATAATAAGTATTATTGATGAAATGTTTATAATTAAATAGTTGGAATACAACATGTGTAAGTTTAAAAATTTATACCAAATTTTATACTTTTAATAACTTTTTATATAATATAAATTTAACCGATTCAATCGTTATATTATATTATATTATATTCAAAATTATATATATCAAATTTGACATGATTTAAATTTTTTTAAATATTTAAGTTAAAATAAATATTTACACATGTTTTAAATATTATATTATATGTTCCAAAAATAATATAATAAAATATTAAATAATTTTATGATCATATATATAATATTACATTATATTCAAAATCGATTAGATTTATATTAAAAAAAATATTTGAAATATAAGATTTAGAATTATAGTTGATGTTAACAGATAGTCTCTAATAACTTAAAAGATAATATTGAAATATTATTATTCTATGTGCACATGTTTTTATATGTGGGAGTGGTTACGAAGGTTCTTTTCCCACTATATACGCGAGGGAGTGTTCAGTGAGTCTGTGAGAAGGTTTTGAGAATGGTTTGGCTCTTGTCTGGAGGGACTAAGAACAAGAACATGGACTTTTCAACTATCATAACTTTTCTACTCTTGTTAATGCCTGCACTCTCTTCATCCCAAAATATTGGAAACATCCCTCGAACTAATCGTAAGATCTTGCCCAAACAAGAAGACATAACCTCTTATGCTGTCATCTTTGATGCTGGTAGCACTGGGAGTCGTGTTCATGTCTACCATTTTGACCAGAACTTAGAACTCCTTCACATTGGCAACGATCTCGAGTTTTACAAAAAGGTGATGGCCTATGATTTTGCTTCATAAGTTATATATATACCTTTTTTAATCCATTAATTCATATAAGTTATAGTAATTAATTAATTAATCATTTTATTCTTAATTAACTACTTGCTGGTTCTTCTTTATGGTGGATATGTAGGTTACACCAGGTTTAAGTTCATATGCTAGTGATCCTGAAGAAGCCGCAGAATCTCTGGTTCCACTTTTAGAGGCAGCTGAAAATGTTGTCCCTGTGGAGCTGCACCCCAAGACACCCCTTAAACTTGGGGTTAGTGTTTCTTTTTCTTCTCTATGAATTGTCACTTATTTGTGCATCTTTAATACAAAAACTCAATTTAGGTCCTTTATTAACTGTTACATAATATTTAGATACACCCAATACTCCACTCTAGTATTTTCAGTACGTCTTTTTATTACTTCACTGATGCAAAAATTATCATTTTGACTAAGAAAATTGTTTATTTTTAATTTTTAAGCAAACCTGGTGAGAGTTGCTTAATATAATATTTTCGGTGCTTAACTTTAAGAACGTATATATATAAGAATTTCATTGAAAATGCACAAAGTGATACTTTTTTATGGTGTGAACTGTGAACTGCTTATGCAGGCAACAGCAGGTTTAAGGCTTTTAGATGGGGATGCTTCCGAAAAAATATTGCAAGCGGTAACCATGAGTTTAATTTTCTAGCTCATCTTGTTAACTAGGCTTTCAACGTCTTAAGTGTTCGTTTTCTTATATTTTAGGTTACGGATCTGTTCAAGAACCGAAGTACACTAAACGTTCAATCTGATGCGGTAGCCATTATTGATGGCACCCAAGAAGGTTCTTATCTATGGGTATGACATTTCTTTATGTTCCTAATCAATTAACTTTATTCATTTTCCTCTTAAAAAAAAAAGTTCATTCATTTTATTGCAAGTCTCGCTTTCCTTTTTTCGACGAAAATATATATTAAAGTAAGTACGAAAGGCTTACCTGAAAGCAAAATTAACATTTTCTAATACAATTGATTGGACTCACACACCCCAATTCAACACCCACCCTTGGACTGTGATCTTGCTTTAACAAGAGCTAAGATACCAATCTAAACGAAAGAAACTCCCTTCAAATAATAATCTTATTATTTATATTCGGATAGACCATGTAATGGCATGTCTAAAATTTGTAAACTTTTTTATTTTAAATAAACTAAGCACAAACTAAAATTAAAAATAATGTGCATAACGAATTAATTTACCTACTAGTATTTTACAGTAGGTATAAATTTAAATATATTAAAATATTTTAAAAATACCAAAAACACATAAAAAAATGTAAAAACAAACACTCAAGGTATTTTAATTTTAGAGTGGCCCTGCTTCCTTTCACTTTCACCAAAATAGGGTTTCACTTCCTTTCACTCTGTGTCCTCCAAGCTTCAGTGGGACAAAGTGAAGGTAATGAGGTTTTCCTTTCACTTCTTTTTCGTCTTAATCCAGAAAGTGTTTCGGTGGTTTCTTCGTCGCTGGCGTTCGCAATGAGGACGTTTCAGCTCTTTATTTTCGCTGTTGCAATTTTTCCTCGTTTTAGCTCACTTCTTTTTCTTTCTGTTAGGGTTAATCTTTCTTTCTCTGTATTTTTTTTATATGACCTTCCCCACTCAATACTTTAAGAATTTGTGTTTCATTGTATTACCATTTGAAAAGGGAATCCTTTGCATTGGTTTTCTGAAACGTTCTCTCCAAAAGCGGAAGATCTCTAGAGAGCAAGCAGCAAAGGAAATTGAGGTAATTATATTCTTATATTATGACTTAGTGTAATTTTGAGAATGGAATATATTGGATTGCATTCGACATGCATATATGTAGTTTTTGCCTTTCCTTAATAGAAATGAATGACAAAACATTGCAAATGAACAAATTTAAATGCTGGAACATTTAAATACCCACCTCCTCCCCTTCTTGAGTCTGGGGATTCATCTGACCAAAGGGTTTGGCTATCCTTGAAAGGCAAAGAGTACGTACATTTTAATTTAAAGATCATTTTTCTAATATAACATTGTTTAAATGTGATTCTGACAATATCTTTTTTAATAGATTTGTTCCTGCAAAAAGCCTTGCTGATGTCATTTCAGGGATCTTTAAGCAAAAATTTGAGGGAGCGTGGCCTACTTGGAAGGCTGTGGATGAATCAGTTCGGGACATGTGGTTCGGAGAGTTTCAGGTAATTAAATTTTGTTTAATTTAAAATATGTTGCATGTAGTTTTTAGTATGTTTCCTAATTCATTTTTAATGTAGAAAGAGTATAAGTGGGATCCACAACATGATCGAGCCATACGAAAAACTTTTGAGCATAAAATATCAACTCTTCTGAAAAATGCTATGCATAAGGTTAGACTAGGTGTCGATAAGGGAAATTGGATCTTGAAAATTTTCGAGCTATTTTAGATCACACTACAAGAAAATTGTCATATAGTGACACACATCTTATAGTGACACAATATGTGTCACTAAAAACTACTTTTACCTACATAATAAATATAATATATGTTGGTATATTATTAAAAAGTATGGGTATAAGTTATAGTGATACACAAAATATGTTGTTAAATCTCATTCAAAATCAACACTAAAATTATGTGCAACTATATGTCAAATAGATATATATTTACATATATTATACTTATACTGACACTTTTTGTATATCACCATATGTGACATTTATTGTAGTGTCAACATTGGGCTTCTGAAAAATTCCAAAATAAAAGTAATACTGCTAAAGGAAATCGGGTTGTAGAGAATGGAGCAACAGCCTACACTGGTGGCTCCATATTTGCAGGAGCCCACTTTGAAAAATTGGTAAGTTTATTTCATTTTTTATTTATATTTAGTTCAATTTAATATAATTGATTGGTTAAATTGCAATATTAACTTGTATTTAAATTTATATAGGCGAAGGAGCTAAATTTTAATTGTTAATAGGATGTGAGACTAATTAAAAATTTGATAATAAATTAATATGATTATCCTATATGAGTGAAATTTAAAACAATTCCTTTATTTTAATCTAATTCAATAATAACATGTTTGATTCAAATTAAATTTTAAAATAAATGTTTATTTATTTATTTATTTTAAATAAACTAAGCACAAACTAAAATTAAAAATAATGTGCATAACGAATTAATTTACCTACTAGTATTTTACAGTAGGTATAAATTTAAATATATTAAAATATTTTAAAAATACCAAAAACACATAAAAAAATGTAAAAACAAACACTCAAGGTATTTTAATTTTAGAGTGGCCCTGCTTCCTTTCACTTTAAAATCAAAAACATAGTTAACAAAAAAGAAACCCATCATAGCACAAGATAATATGTCAGAGTAGTTGTCATTAAATAAATAAATAAATAAAAGGTGTTTACTCTTGATGTAACCATACACTAATAATCCCATGGCCAGAAAACACCGCCACAAAAGACTAAAGAAGGCTGCTATTTTATACTCGTAAGGGCCCATGATCCATCCACCATGCATTTAAAAATTTGTAACCCTATAATTGAATAATAAAAAATAAAATAATATTAATTATCTAGTCATTATAAGATATATATTACAATATTTGTCATACCATCTGACATTTTTACAATTCATTTCTTTTATTATATCTCTTCATCTGTTAATTAAGAAGAGTAATGATATTCACTCGCCTAAATGAGTGGATTGGGAGAGGAATTAGGAGATAGATAAAAAAAAAAAAAAGATAAAAAAAAAAGAAAGAAAGAAAGAAAGAGAAGTGATATATAGGTGACGTAATGGAAAAAAGAAGAAAGAAATAAAGAATAAAAAGAAGTGAAAGTAAGATAGAAGAGAAAATGAATGTATGAATGATAATTTTTCAATAAAGAAATAATGATTTTTTATTTTTTGTTTTTGGGTATTCTTTGGACTGTATTTGAATGGTGTAGCCGTATTTTGACACTAATTATCTTTCATCTTTATCAATTCTAGTTGACAATTAACTATCTATTGGGGAAGTTGGGAAAAAAGTTTACCAAGACAGTGGGAGTAGTTGATCTTGGAGGTGGATCAGTTCAAATGGCATATGCGGTTTCAAGGAACACAGCGAAAAATGCCCCAAAAGTACCTGATGGGGAGGAGCCATACATAAAGAAACTAGTAGTCAAGGGAAAGAAATACGATCTCTATGTTCACAGGTTTCTTGTCTAATTCTTCATACCTACACACACATGGGATTATTAAGTTTGGATTTACATGCTTTTAAAGCAATTACTTTTAAATTCTAGATGAATATATATAAGTGACAAATGTCATGGTTAATATATAGTTGTTAACATCTTTTTCAGTTACTTGCACTATGGTAAAGAAGCAGCTCGTGCTGAGATTTTGAAGGTCACTGATGGTTATGCTAACCCTTGCGTTTTAGATGGCTATTATGGTAAACATATTGTTTTGGATCGATGCATATATATTTAGAATAATACTACCACCATCATTGCTATTCATAAAACCCTTTTCAAAACATTTCTTGTACTATTTTATAAGTTCATTTCTAATATTTTAGATGCACAAATTAAATTATTGTTTTCTTAAAGTACCTTTAGTCAATTATTCTCACTCCAAACATTAATTTTTTAAATTTTTTATCTATATAAAAAAATTACAAAGACAATATGATGAGGATTCAACTTATGTCCTTGTACATTTACCTCAATTATTTTCTCTCAATCACTAAAATTAATTACTTAAGTGAGAAATAATTTAGAGAGATAAATAATTTTAAAAAAAAAATATATAGTTAAGAGTACTTTTGATAGAATAATACACATTATTGACAAATTTAATATAATTAATTACATTAACTATTTTCTTAAAGGTGCAAATTAATTAAAATGGTTTTATAAATAATGATAAAAAAAAGTATATTTTACGGAGATGTATGGGTGTATATGTGTGTTAATTAATAGATATCTATAGATATGATAGATAATATATGGTGACAAAATGTGAAATTATTGTGAGTATTCATGTATATATCTTTGTTGAAGGAAGTGTATAACATGCCAATATATGACAAGTGAAGTGTTTGTTTTTGGTTCTTTAAAGGGACCTACACATATTCAGGAGCGGAGTATGCATTGTTCCCTCCGATTTCTGGATCTAGCTATGAAAAATGCAGAGAGATAGTTTTGGAAGCTCTGAAAGTGAACGAGCCATGTTCTCATCCAAATTGCACATTTGGTGGGATATGGGATGGTGGAAGAGGAAGTGGACAGAGAACTCTCTATGCTACTTCATCTTTCTTTTACCTAGCCCAAGATGTAATAACTACATAATATTTTAGTTAATCATTGCATAAGCTTCTAATTTTGACTCTATTCCTCAGGCCATGTTAATTAGATTATTTTTCTATTATAGGTTGGTATCATTGATGCAAACGCACCCAGTGGCATAGTTCGTCCAGCAGATTTTGAAAGTGTGGCTAAGCGAGCTTGTCGATTAGCATTTGAAGATGTCAAATCCGTTTATCCACTTCTTACTCAGGACAAACTTCCATATGTGTGCATCGATAGTGCATATCAATATGCGTTGCTTGTTGATGGATTTGGTAGGTTTTTTGCACTATTATATAAATGTTTCTATTTGATAGTATAAGAGTTTAAATCTAAAAATGTGTGCATATTACGCAAACCTAACCCCTATTATGAGAATTGAATTGAAGTTGATATACGTTGGAATTAATTAATATTGTGTGTGTATATATATGTTTTTAATTGTTTTTCCATTTGTTTGTAGGCCTAGATCCTTTGCAAGAGATTACAGTGGCACTTGAAATTGAATATCAGGATGCTGTTGTGGAAGCAGCATGGCCTCTTGGCACTGCCATAGAAGCCATATCTTCTTTGCCTAAATTTGAACGGTTGATGTATTTTATTTAAGCTTCCTGCACAGAGAAGCTAAACTATTTTAGTGCTAAATGACTACTTTAGTCGAAATAAATAAAACCTTATTTTCACTTTCACTTTCTAACAACAATAAAAATAAAAATAACAATAATAATAATGGATTTTGCTCTTGTAATGTTTGAACAACTCGACAATTCAAACTACAAATTTGTTTTAAATTTTAGATTGTATCGGTGTTTGATGTTTGAGTTAAACATGGTCATGCTCATCTAGGACATGAATTTTGGATGAAGGAAACTCTCATGGCCCCCTTTTCCCTTTTCCCTTTTTTTTTTTTTTTTTTTTTATCTTTTCTCAATCTTAGGCACACAAACAAGTCATATACCATATAATGTCACAAATCCTCACTCAACTCTCTCAATCGTGCAAGGAATCATGATAATCAACTTAGAAGTGTAGAACCCCTTTCATATCTCTTTCTTTCTTCTAAGTCACAATTCATGAAACACCTGGTGCACTCATCATGTATCTATTAGACTATTGTTATTGAACTTGTTAATGGGTATTTTTTTCGTGGGCCTTGCTCCCTCCCTTGTTAATCAAGCCCATTACATTTTATTACTTATCTACTATTATAATTTTAACAAGACTTATTTTAATTAATTAGATGTTACACAATACATGCTTAAACAAACTTTGAATAACACATTTCTAAATCATAGAAATAACATTGCAATTCAAAAGTTCTCGACCTTTTGTCAGTTTTATTCCTTTGACTTGTTCTAATGGGTGATTATAACCCATCTTTTGCAATATAATTTCATCTCCATCACTATTCATGAAGCCAAAGCTTTAAATTAGAGGGTCAATTGAAAAAATAATTTTATTATATATATATATATGTGTGAATTTATAATAAAAATGGTTTTCATAGAAAAAAACTAGTTAAGAAAAATTCTATTAATTATGTTATTAAAATATAATAAATTATATTACTCACTATATTATCTTTTATATTAATCATGTTTATCCATAGTTAACAAAATGTCATATGCAGTTAAGAAAGAAACATAATTTCATAAACAATGTAAAAAAAAAAAAGGGAAAAAACCATAAATAAAAAAAAACAAACATACACAAATAATAGTGTTCTGAAAAGAAAATACTTGTCGGTATATATATATATATATATATATATATATATATATATACACAC